AATCGACAAAACGTGAGAAAGTTACAAAGATGTATGGCTGGTTGTCCAACTGCGGGTTCGGTTACTGCTATTTTCAAGCTCATACATTAATATCTTTTAGGTTTAGAGTCGAAAACGTTTTGCGTAAGGTTTGAAAGTCCAGGTTAGTGAAAAAATATCATTTCGATGGTATTCAGTGTTTGCTTGTTTTGTTTTTTTTTTTTTTTGTTGTATGTTTTTCCGGGGTTTTTTTTTGGGGGGGGGGGTGGGGAAAGATAAATCATGATAAACATCAATTACAAATTTTGCTTAGTGTAAATTGTATTTAAGCGATTTGCAGTGGCGACATTTATCAAGAAATAGTGAGACATTCATTATCTTCATTATCACAACTAAGAAATTAAGCAATGAAGGAAAAAAAAATCGATTTCTATAAGTGGTATTGACCATACGTTTCTTTTTTTAATCTATTCCATATGAAAAATTCATTTTTTTTTTTATATGAAAACGTTCGCGGTTTTATTTTTCTATAAATCCAATAAGCGCAAAAATGAAAGAAAAACGAAAAGGGGTTTTCAAAATTGTTCATATCAAAAGCAATCTATTGCTGGAGTTTGGGGAATCAAGTTCTCCTTCCTTTTAATCTCTTCATCTTCCATCTCTCAAACCACAGTGACAATTGCTAAAATTAATCAAGCTTACAGTTGAAATGACAGCTGATGAAATGTTATGTTGCGTGTCGCAATTAATTCCCCGCACAACTTTTATCTTTCCCTCACCCAAAAAAGCACGCAATATTTGTTTTTCAACTGGAAATTGGGATCTGCAAATATGGCGAGGGTTGTCGAATGGGGAAAACGAGCAATTAGACACTGTTAGATGGTTAATGAATTTATCTTTTAATCGTACCGACGCAATTATTTCATTTTCGCTGTCATATTAGTGTTTGCTAAGCATGATTATTTAAAAGGAGAATTCATTTTGATTCTGGTGTCGTCAATCTTTATGTCACAAACGTTGTCATTTTCATTCCACGTTCTTAGGCACTGTTTGTTAGAGGACATCGTGGAAATGCGATGTTTCATTGTTTTCAGAAATAAATTTAATACATCACGGACTTCAACAGGATGAGCAGAAATCGTTTAATTTCAAAGACCTATTAGGCAGATGAGAGTATAGATTTACATCGTGTAAAGGCTTAACATCGGTTAAAATGGGAGTTAACGATTTTAACGATGGCAGTCATATGATAATTTTAATAGACTTAAATTCCTTGTATCTAATAAGAAAACTTTATTCACATGGTATATATTTCGCTTATAACATATTAACAATATTTCATATGAAAAACGCGTGAACGAAACATGGAAACAATATAAGTAATTAAATAACTTTTCAAATAATTAAGCATTATTTCTAATTAATCTAAATTTAATGTTCAGTATAAGGCCAACAGGAATCAAGAATAACCTTCCGCGTTGAGCATTAAACTAGATCCAAAAGGTGATGGGTGATTGCATGCATTTTCAACTCGGGTCCGTTGTCGTGTTTTCAAGCGGCAAAGAAAGGGGGTAACAGGTCATTCTGAAATCTTAAAAAACACTTTTGATTTTCAAGGCCGTTTAAAACTTTTCAGTATTTATAGTTAGTCGACTGACTTCTTGCGAAGACCTGTCAGTATCAAGCGACAGGTTTAGAAGCTAGGCTAACGCTTTATTCCCCCTTTGCGTTCCTCTTAAAATACAAATATTGAATAACTTGTATAAAATTTGAAGGCCATAACGGGGCCGTAGTTTGCGATCGGGTACATTTAATTTAAAGCAATCAAGCTGTCTATCTTTTCTCGCTTTAATTACAAGCTAAGATAGAAATCTAGCTCGCGCTTCACTACTTCTATCGACTTTTCTCGAGCAAAAGTGACAACTGCGAACGAGGACGAAGAGGAGACAAATACCAAGTACCAGAAGAAGAAAAAAAAATCAAAGTTTGCTAATGTACAGTTTGACAAGGCGCGTTACAAAATAACACTTTCTTCGCTCTCTTGTCGATAAAGTGAAGTCATGTAAGCGTAAAGATTTTGGCGATTGACTCTGACTTACTCATGTTAACTGTTTCGTGCTATTGATTTGGTTTTATCACACAACCAAAATCGATTTCGTATTTCGGAACGTATCTGGGTGAAAAGGAAAGGATGGTTAAATAGTCCTAAGGGGCAGGCAAGGTGTATTGTTACCTGCCAAAATTAAAAAGGAATAGACTGAACCTTAGGATCATATAGCTTCAACCATTTCTGTTTATGAACTGAATTTTTTAAAAATGCAACGCAGGTAAATTTATATCTACTAAAGTACATCTACTGCGTGTATCATGTTTATACCGACTCAATTTACTAATTAAATCCATAATATTTTCCATGTGGCAAGCTGTGGAGTTATTTAATGACTATTTTATTTTTGTTTATTTTTTGGATTATGTCTACATTCTGTCTTCCTATTCAAATATGATATTCCTAATATGTTAAGTGATATTTTAATAAATATAATCATTCTTTTGCCATCTTATCTTGTTCATCTTCGAAATTATTTATTGCAAAAGCTGTACGAACCTTAAAATATGGCAAGCAAACCGTATTATTTCCATCGGAAAATGAAGAAAATTAAGTAATTTATAAAGGAAGGAAAGCCCAGCACCTCTGCCCATGAAATGACGAGCAAGTAATGGCGGATCGACAGACTTGTCATGTGATTGATTTATGACACGTGACACCTGAGACACTAGTAACGTGCGATAATCAGCGATAGCAATCAGGCATCGGTATCGTGAAACGTCGATCACTCGTCAGGAGACGAGCTCTGATGCGATTGGCATGTTTGGATATGATTCCAGAAAATAGATGACGAAATATGACGAGAGATGACGAATTACGGAAAGGAATTTCGGACGAAACTCTGTCTCTATTTCATGAAGACTTAAAGGAATGAATTATTGTTGGACGGTATCACTTTAAAGATCAGTTGTGTTATTGTCAACTTCTTCTCTGGTGATGCATGTATAAATTGAGAATGGGAGGTTCAACGTTTTGAATTGAAGAGAAGTGAAGTGGAATATGAATGAAATGTCATTGTGGCCAAAGGTCGAAAAAGGAAATTTTACACGGAAAAAATACAATAGAGCTTCAACCATTACAAACCCCGATCGGAGATGCAACATTAATATTTAAGGGTTTTTCTCGTACATTGTCGTGCATCTCTATTAAACAAAATTGCAATATCAATATGAATAATGACATTAAGATACAAACATCTCACCGTCTTTGAAATGCAGACGAACGATACTGATCCCAAGAACGTATCGATGATTGTCTGGATATGACGGAAAATATATTTATGATCTTCCATATTGATATGTATGATGATGATGATGAAGTTGATACATCGTGTGCCATAGTTGGCAGTTCACTTGCTTATGCGCAGGAATTATTGCAAAATGCTGTGTATAGACCGGTGTTGTAGTCGTAACCTTGGAAATTAGATCCAGCCAGGAGAACAATTTCACTTTTCCTTCTCCTTTATTCAAGGGTGATCTTGTTGGAAATAAACTTATTTTGGCTGGAAAATATGTACAATAAACACTTATCTCACACTCACCACTTAGGTGCGATAGAAATGCCAGCGGTGATCGATTCGGAATGGGGGTGATTTTAGCTGAATTATATGACAGGCAAGATACTGACGAAGCCGCTAGAAACATCACATAACATCTTAATTGAGGGCAGCACTTTGCCTGAGCGGGCAAATTTCCTCGCTCACCAGAAATCAATAAATGGCGAACTGAAGGGCAATTGAAGTGCCTTCCAAAACAGGAAGTGACGTTTGCGACGTTGACATTACAGTTTCTATTCGTAGCATATACGTTGGACTCTCTGGCTCTCTGCCCCCCCCCCCCCTCTCTCTCTCTCTCTCTCTCTCTCTCTCTCTCTCTCTCTCTCTCTCGCTCTCTCACTCTCTCTCTCTCTCTCTCTCTCTCTCTTTCTCTCTCTCTTTCTCTCTCTCTGTCCGCCTCTAATCAAAGTCCTCTTTTACTACCCTCTCTCCATCTTCCTTACTCTCTTTCTCAGACCTATTTTTCTATATTCTGCCTGTTCCACTTCTGTTCATACCACGTCGTGCCTGGTCATGTCATATTTTATCGGACACGGCTCAATTTCTAGCTATCATCCACGTCATTTGTATGTTTTTTTCTGTTCCATTGTCACCTGCTTTTTAGCTATTATTAGTCATCTTAGATTAATATTATAGATCTGTCTATATCTGTGTATGATACGCATCTATCTTTCTGTCTTGTCTGTATTCATATAAAACATGATTTGAAAGACCATCTCCCCCCAAACAGCTTAAGGGCAATGTCGGTATATTAATTTTGCGTATTGCCTAGAGCAATCATTTTCAGATAACGTAATAGGCCTAGGCCTATGTCATTTTCGAATATTTCAATACGTGACATACAAGGCTAAGTGAACTTGTGTTGGGTTAATTTTTAAAAGTGTTTGCAATCGTGTTATAAATGTCTTTTGCAATTTCATGAAACAATTTCTCTCTCTCTCTCTCCCTCTCTCTCTCTCTCTCTCTCTCTCTCTCTCTATCACACACACACTCTCTCTTTCTATCTTTCTCTCTCGTTCTTTTAAACTTTTAAAGATCTCGTCTTAAGTAGATATCAAACTACTATTATAGCAAGTGTCGCGTGCAACATACTTTGTAAACTAGACCAATGCGAGGTCAGCCAGGAGCGTGATATGATTGACTGCATGGATGTTAAAAATACAAGGGCAAAAACTCGGGCAGAACATTATACTCCTACATCAATGATAGGTAGGGGGGAAAGTGTCACTTAAATTCCTTATAAATCGTTTATGTTGGTGATTTTATTGATCATGTTGATACAATTACAAAAAGAAATTCTCTTCATCTTTGAAAGCCTGTAACATATTCGTTTTTCTTTCACTCTTTCCTCTGCTACAGGTTTGGTTTCAGAACCGGCGTGCAAAATGGCGGAAGAGGGAGAATACTCGGAAAGGCCCCGGTCGCCCCGCCCACAACGCGCACCTGACGTCATGCAGTGGAGACCCTATCCCTCCTGATGAACTTGAGCGAAGAGAGAGGATGAAGATGGAGAGGAAAATCAAGAAACAAAAAGAGAAGACAGATAAAGTACCGAATCGACAGGTGTCGAGGAGAGTTGGTGGTGGCAGTCAGGCCGAAGGGAGTGGTGGTGGAGATGGTGAGGAGAGAAGGCGAGACTCATGTAGTTCCTCAACGGGTATATGTGTGGATGGACCGGGAGGCTTCTTATCGGACGGTCATCTCTCCCAGAAAGACTTCATGGAAAGCTCTAGCGCTGAACCCAGCGAGATCGATTCAGAATGCATGGACAGTATGAGTATTGATACAACGGAGGAGCAGCGAAAACTCCCGGATTCGCCGCGCTTCAAGTTAGCGGCACGAACACTCCTCAATCCGCTGCGTGGCGTCGGGCCGTTACCGCGGTTCGACGGCGATAAACTTCAAGATTGCGACGCTGCATCCGCATTCCATAGCTCGTTTAGTATCGATAGGCTTCTGTCTCGCCAGCCGGAGCAGCACCGGGATATCAAACCAGGAACCGTCGCCGCAGCCGCCGCTGCCGCTGCCCTCTGGCCCGACTTCTGCCCTAGCTACGCGCTGGCAGCACCCAACCCTCTTGCGTGGGGCGCACTTACGACATTCGGGTTCCCGAGGATGTGGGCCGGTTTGACGGCTGATCGACTAGCCGGTTGCCTGCGGGCTAACAGTCAGCAGATGGGCCTGCTAGATGCATGGAGAGAGAGAAAGACAATGAGTGTTGAGGCTCTAAGAAAGAAAGCACAGGAACATAAAGAGGCGTTGAGTAAGAATGAACTCAGCGACGGATGAACAGAACTGTATAAATAAATGTATCAAATTATTGTAGTGTATGATAGTTATTAATATCTTACAAGTGTGGAGTGGAGGTTGTTGACAAAAATATTGAAGTTATTTTGAAGATTAAATTATATTTACTTTTTATGTGAATCATGAAAGAATGAATTTATTATAAGTTTAAAAATCCCTCTTTTACCAAATGGAAGAAAACATGTAGGCCTACATATTGCCATGGGAACTGTTTTCCAGGGCACGCAGGGGCGGGGACCTTTCGATTTGTCTTCATTCTGTATTAATTAATAATATTAGAAATGTTATATCAGTCTAAAATCTGACCCTGGATATTTGCCTACATAAATACCATGTTGTGGGTGTCACTCCCAAAACCTCGCCTTTGGCAATATGAGAAACTTACCATAATCATCCATGGTTGATCATCCAATACAGCTCATGTGGGCAAATAGTGATTCACTATCAGTGTTTCATATCAGCTAGTAAGCCCAATGGTTTCCATTTGGTGTGCGTGCTATAATATGTAGTGGCGTAGAAGCTTTAGGGTATATGGGTACACGCCCCCCCCCCCCCCCCTCCTCACCCACTGAATAGTTAACACCGAGATACGAAATAGAGGGACATAGAGAACGGACGAGAATAACGTATGGACCATTTCCTGTATCCTTCCACTAATCGGTAGCTTTGTAAATGTGCATTTAATTTTCCGAGTAAGACCGGCGCCCCCCCCCCCCCCCCATGGGCGGACCCACACTACGCCATCGCTGTTGTATGCAAACATAGTATCTGATGCTACCTCGGTTGTTATCGTGATTATGGGGTTATATTCACAGTTGGGTAGTTATTAATAGGTAAAATTATTTCAAAGTTGACTGGTCATTGAATAGATAATACTACGTCGTGAACATTCACTATTGTGACTAAATCGTCACTAGCTGCACATTAATCACTCACATCACAATTGGATGTTATTTGATTTCTCATTCCTGTGACATACATAATGTGTTTACTGATGTACATCTAGAGAGTGTGGTTTGAGGCACCTTGGTAAACAATAATGGGTGGCCATTAAATTATATGATAACCGGCTCTCGTAACTGACAGAGCTTTCTTCGCAAAACATGATGTTTGTCCTGCATGTATGAATGTGCTGCTTTCGAGTAAGATGGACCACTTTTAAAGGCACCATTAATCTTTTGAAAATACATTCTATGAACTTATTCCAAAGGAGAGTGGGAAGCAAATCATTTTGAGAGTGACAAGGTATATGAAATGAATTTTTTGAATAATCCAACTATATAGTTATGATGGTGATTTTAACCATGATTCTATATAACGATAGGAATAGAATTAGCTGAAATGATTTGTACATCGTATTGGGATACTGGGTTTATTATGAGCAGTATTTTTTCAAAGTATTTTGAGGAAAGGTTATGGACTTTACTCCATCTTCTAGTTTCACATTCATATCAAACCAAAATTGAAGTTTAAAGACCAAAGATCAACATTCTTTATTGCCAAATTTTTTAACCGCCAAAAGTATGTAAAACGATTTCTTTGTTCGATTGAAGAAACAAAAATGACATGAGGGCAAGGATTTGTGGTTGTGATATTTCTCTCCAAGCCATGAATTCTTATAATGTTTGTCTGTTCGACATGTATTTTTTCAAGACTGGCAAACGTGTCTATTTCGTTTTCTTCATAAGTCTCTTTAATAGTTAAAAAACCTAATGGAAATACACGCAGTGCTATTTATATATCTTGCTTTGTTATCACGAAGCAGCGATTATTTTAAATACTAATTACCGTACTAAAGAGGGAAAGACAGATAAATGCTTCTTTAAACATGTTAAATAATATAAATTGGCAATGTCTCAAAATGGGACAGTGATGTTTAGCGCCTTTTCCAGAGAGAAAGATTGTAACCTGACGTTATAAGCACTATGCAGAGAATTATTTTACCATTACAGCAAAACAAGAAAATGTTAAGAGAAAATCTTGTAATTCAATTCGTTTGACTGTGGTTCAATGTATTGTAATCTACAACTATTTTTGTAAGAACCAAAGAGGTTTCTTAACTCCCCTCGAACAAGAAGCAACAAAAGATTCGCGTAAAATGCGCCATCTTTATAATGTACCGTGTCATTCGATCCCGTCGCTGTTTGTCGCCTTCAATTCGCTGTATTTTCTTTTCCCTCAGAAACCCCCTAACTCTCCTCTTTTAATTGAGTCACAAAACTATTAAATATCATGCGATAAATCACCACGTCTCATGCTCGCCATCACGTAAACGTAGAATCCAATTTGTTGCGAAAATCTGTTATTTTTTCGTTCCCGCCATCCAATCCCGTGCGGTTTAGCAAGATACAATCTCAAGTACGGGAGACGTAACAAAAATTTAATTTCCTCGACGGGCTCTCGAAATCGGAAAAGAGAAAAGCGTAATTTCGTCCTCCAAAGACAAGGAGGTGTGTTGGAGAGAAATAACAGGCTAGGTGATGCTGTTACATGGATTCTTGAGAGAATGAGAGTAAAGAGAGAGTTTATTCACTTGTCCACGGCTTGATGTAGCGGTTTTAATTTTCACTCTTGTTTTACCCGCTTGATTGAATAGGAGTGGACGTTTAGATTAGGGTAACTGCAAACGCTCTCTGTTGATCGTACAAGTCCTTTTTTCCCCTCGTGAATCTTCGAGAGTGAGATTGAATTGAGGGTAATTATTGCGATTTTCGTTTAAAGGATTAGTTGAGACTTGGCTTGTCTATTCAAGATAGCAGGCTAGTATCATGTTCTAAAGAATAAAGATTTGATTGACACGTTTGTGTGCTTCAATTTATAAATTAATGAAAGTCAATTTCAGAAAATTCCTTATCTTAAGACTCAAGTTACTTTAAAACTTATTCAATGGAAAATGAGGAACGATATTGCTGATTTAATCAGTAGATGTACTTTAATATCACTTTAACACGGCTGCTGTGCAATTTTCTAATTATCAAGTATGTGTTCTTTGTATTTAGGAATACATCTTTAAATCGTTACGTTTTGTTATACCATCAAGCATTCTTTCATCTGTACCTATATCATGTATAACGATACAACAAGATCGCAACTATTTTCAAAAAAATCAACTCAGGTGCAATTCCATAACCATTGGTACATCCCATCGAAATATCATTCGGGTTACGTAATTGGTCATTATCATGTTCGCACTATTCAAAGTGTGACCAGCACATGTATATTTTTCGAAAGTATTTGCGATCGTGTATCACTAACAAACCTAAACACGGTATTATATTTGGTAAATTTAACATGCACATTGATAGTGTCTGTGCTGTCTTTGGTAATTTCTTGTATAAGATATAATTCATTACCGTTCTCTGATCCACCATATATTCAAATTCTTGATTTAGGTATCGACAAAATGAAATCCCTCAGGACGAGGGGTTAGAATTTCGTTTTAAATAGAATTAGATTTAAATAGAGTGTATTGACACTGTTGCAGTGAATATGAGTTTCCGACGATTTATTGCTGGTATATAGTATTTAAGGGGGAAAATGCCATGAATTGTAATTGTAAATAGTCTACTAAAGAAAAGAAAATATCAAACTGTAATTATGTTTATACACATGATATAAGAATAAAGATAAAATGACACGAATTAACGTTATTGTCTTCTCCATAAATATTCAGTCATGAGATGATATATATTTATAACATAATGTGTATACGGAGGAAGTGTGAGAATTCGTATTATGGAATACGATGTTGACGGTGGTGATGATGATATTAGTAATGATGATGATGACAATGACGATGATGATGGTGATGATGATGGTGGCGATGGTGATGATGATGGTGATGATGATGGTGACGATGATGATGTTGATGATGATTGTAATGAGAGTGATGATGATGGTGATGATGGTGATGATGATGGTGATGATGATGGTGATGATGATAATGACAATGATGATGTTGTTGATGATGGTGGTGATGGTGATGATGATCATGATGATCATGATAATGACGATGATGATGGTGATTATGATATTAACGATGGCGATGTTGATGGTGATGACGATGATGATGGTGATCAATATGGTGATGGTGATGATGATGGTAATGCTGATGATGATAGTAATGATGGTGGTGAATATGGTGATGATGATGATGATGATGGTGATGTGTTTTAGGACGGTAGTGATAACGGCACTAGCGACGTCTACCATAATGTTGATAATGGTCATGAAAATGATGATGATGGTGATGATGGTGATGATAGTGGTGGTGGTGGTGTTGGTGGTGGTGACGGTAGCGTTGTGGTGGCGATTAAAAGGGAAATAATGATGACAATTATGATGAGGGCACGATAATGATAAAGATAATGGTGACGACGATGATGATACTGATCATGATGATGATGTGGATGTGCTGAAAATATACCAACCATGGAGCGATGATAGTGATCATGGCAATGATGGTAAAGATGATGGTGTTGACATTTTTTGGTAATATTAAAGGTGATGATGATAATTATGATGAGGAGGAGGAGAAGAAGAAGAAGGAGGAGGAGGTGGAGGAGAGGAGCAAAATGCTGCTTGTGTTGATGAAGGTGGCCGTTGTTATACTGTCCGGTGATGGGTATCGCTATAATGACAACGATGCTACTTATTTTGATGATGGTGGCGACAAAACTACGACGACGATGATGGTAATGATATTGATGATGATAATTATGATGATGATGATGACGATGATGATGAGTATGATGGTGGTGGTGGTGATGAAGATGATGTTGACGAAGATAAGGATGATGATCTGTATAATGTTGTTCTTGATAATGATGACGGTGTTGGTGCTGATGATGATGACGAGGGTGGTGGTGATGATAATATGTTGATGATGATGATGATGATGATACTGATAATTTTGATGATGATGCTGATAATGATGGTGCTGATAATGATTATGATGATGAATGTCGTATTTCTGGTCGAAGGATTTATGCTGAGAAAGACGCCAGTAATTATGTCGACGACCATGACGATTACGGCACGACGACATTAACGCGACAGTGATAATGATGACAATAGTAATAATGTAGAGAACACATTAACGTCATTGGACAGGCCTGGAAAAAGAAAACGATTTTTTTTTTCATATTTAGATAGAGTATCTTTTACCATCCGGTCATGTGCGCATTAACACAGGATTGTTAGGGGAAGCATTCAGTCTTTAATAAACACTCGATTTTCGCCCTATTTCACACAATAATCAATGAAAGACAATTCAGAATCGTAAGTTTCCTTTCCAAAAAATATAGAATGAACAGAGAAATTACAAATTAAATTGGCAGAGTCTACGGCTTTGATTTTCGTTATTTTTAGAATTGTTATGTTGTTTGTATCATGG